GATGTTTTTTGGGTTCCTCAAGATGTTTTTTAGTGTTTTGGGTTCCTAGATCCATTTTTGGGGTCCCCGAGATGTTTTTTGGTGTCCCCAAGATGTTTTTTGGGTTCCCTGAGGTGTTTTTTGGGTTCCCTGAGGTGTTTTTTGGGTTCCCTGAGATGTTTTTTGGGTTCCTCAAGATGGTTTTTGGGTTCCTAGATCCATTTTTGATGTCCCCGAGATATTTTTTGGTGTCCCCAAGATGTTTTTTGGGTTCCCTGAGATGTTTTTTGGGTTCCTCAAGATGGTTTTTGGGTTCCTAGATCCATTTTTGGGGTCCCCGAGATGTTTTTTGGTGTCCCCAAGATGTTTTTTGGGTTCCCCAAGATGTTTTTTGGGTTCCTTGAGATGTTCTTTGATGTCCCCAAGATGTTTTTTGGGTTCCTTGATCAATTTTTGGGTTCTCTGAGATGTTTTTTGAGGTTCCTCAATCAATTTCCAAAGTCCTTGAGATGTTTTTTGGTGTCCCCAAGATGGTTTTTGGGTTCCTCCATCCATTTTTGATGTTCCTAAGATGTTTTTTGGTGTCCCTAAGATGTTTTTTGGGTTCCTCCATCCATTTTTTTATGTCCCTGAGATGTTTTTTGGGTTCCTCAAGACTTTTTCGATGTCCTCCAGCCATTCTTTCCCTCCTTCAACCCATTCCATCTCCCAACCTCATTTTTTGGGGGGGTGAAGACATCTCCTAACCCCCATTTTTTTTAATGTCCCCAACCTCAGGGACAGCCCGTGGTGTGGTGATCGCCACCGGTGACCGGACGGTGATGGGACGTATCGCCACCTTGGCTTCTGGGTTGGAAGTTGGGAAGACCCCGATCGCGGTGGAGATCGAACACTTCATCCAGCTCATCACCGGCGTCGCCGTCTTCTTGGGCATCTCCTTCTTCATCCTCTCCCTCATCTTGGGTTACACCTGGTTGGAGGCCGTCATCTTCCTCATCGGCATCATCGTGGCCAATGTCCCCGAGGGCTTGTTGGCCACTGTCACCGTAAGAGCCACCGTAGGAGCGTAAGGGTGGGATGGTGTGAGGAGGATACTGGTTTCACTGGGAAAGAGGTGGTGGGAACGGGTTTTGCTGGGTGTACCCAGAAGCTTGGTGCTTGTTGACACCCGTGGGTGCCCTCTGAGCCCCGTGTCCCCCCACCCCAGGTGTGTCTGACGCTGACGGCCAAGCGCATGGCCAGGAAGAACTGTCTGGTGAAGAACCTGGAGGCCGTGGAGACCCTGGGTTCCACCTCCACCATCTGCTCCGACAAGACCGGGACCCTCACCCAGAACAGGATGACCGTGGCCCACATGTGGTTTGACAACCAGATCCACGAGGCCGACACCACCGAGGACCAGTCGGGTGGGTGACCAGCACCCTGACCCCCACCCCTACCCTGGCACCCCAACCCCAGGAGCACCCAGATGTCTCTCCTCTGGGACACCCCATCCCCTGGGCATCCCTTCCCATGGCACCCCCTTGCTGTCCCTGATGTCCCCCATC